TTGGGCATTATATATATATACATGTAAAAGTAGCCATTGGGTTTGAGGTTTAGGGTAATGGGGACTTGAATGGAAAAGGCAACAAAACATGTAGTGGATACCGAATTATTCAGCGGTTAAATGAGGGCTCAAGGAACTTAACTTCAGTTGCCTTAGCAAGGAAAGCACCTGATTTGACAGCGGAATGAGAAGGCATGTTATTTTCTCTTCATCTGTCCATAATATCGTATCTTGATTTAACAACAACCGTAAACCATCCCAGCAATCATGCTGAAAATTCTTAGGCTTGAAGATCTTGGGTCAGTGATCAGTGATCAATCCCCTGAACCTAAGAAGAGACCCCCAACGCCAAGTTACTCTGACACATAATCCCAATATAAAGTTAGATACCACAATGACAACACTGACGCAGGGGGAGGGGGAGGTTAGTTGGGGGAGGGGATGCATGCATTCTAGGCCGGTTGCATGTTCGACTGATGCATGTCAAGCTTACAGCGCTGATGTGAAATGCTGACTGGTGTGTTTACGCGGCTCAATTGTGCGAAGTTTACTAAGCCCTAAACCCTCAAGCAAATGGGTCAGAGTTGCCGGCCAGAAGTAATTGGTTTGGAAGTCTCGGCACGTCCAAAACGGAGTTTCACAAAGTATGCCCCGCATACGGCTCACTCATAAGGAATCCCATCATCCCCTTAAAGCCCCCTGTATATTCTTTGGGGTTTAGGGTTAACGGTCCCCCTTTTGGAGAAATTTCCTACTTGTCTGCTGAGAGAGCAGCCAACTTCTGGCATTTTTTGAGCCAGGTTTTTTAGTGGAAGATTTCTGGACTTAGTAAGCCTACTGACTATCCACCTAAGGGATTTTAGTAACTATTCAGACTTACTAAGTCAAAAGTTCATCCGCGCTAGTATAAGGTTCCCATGTTAAACTGGTTTTCAGGTCTGAGATGGATTGAAATTATTACGCTATCCAGGCTGAACTTCTCATTATACCCTGAACCCTGAAACCTATACCTTAGGTGGACCCCCCACTCAGTAATAGTGACTATAAGGGATAATGGTAATTATGTTAGGGTCGTCTTATAGCCCTATCATACCACTATTACAGGGTGGGGGGTCCTCCTAAACTATACCCTAAACCCGTAGGTGCCCCCCGCCCACCCCCAAAAAAAAAAGGTGACACAGAAACCTCAAATGGTTGCATGTGCATTTGTGCAAGCGCAGGTCCTGGAAGTGTCGCGTTGACCGGGAACCCGCTGCGCAAAAGGAGAGATGAGGGTTTGGCAAAATCAGGGTGCCTGTTAGGGTTTTGGATGTAGGGCCACCCTAAGTATCGGAAGATTAGGGAACTGAATGAAACCCAAACAAGATAACATAGTGCCAACAACCTACCTTAAACCTTAAACCTTAAACCCTAACCTCCCAACCTACCAGATGCTTCAGCTGCTCCACGTCCAGGGACTTGCTGGTATAGTTTTTCTGTCATGGGGTTTGTAGAAGGATCATGGAAAAGAAAATGGAAACTACTACATCGGGTTTAGGGCTTAGGGTTTATGATTGAACTAGAATCGCACTTGTGGTGAGATCCTTCTTGAAGGGAATTGAGATCAAAAGTCACCGCGCTTGTGATCCGAAGCCCGCTGACATTGCAAGAGGACTGCCCGAACCCGGACGGAAGCTATGTGGCAGTGCCGCTCATTCAGCAGCTGACAATTGCATCCGCAATTCGCACTCAGTACTGCTTGACGCCTGTAACGCCAGGTGTGCGCTTTCCCGGTGCACAGCATGTAAGTGTCGTACTAAATCTACGAAGGCAACAAGACATGTCAAGGCTGGGCATGTGGTCTAAAACAAACATACGCTAGTCGAAAGCCTATAGCCACCCTTCCCCAAAGCCACCGCAATTTCCCACGGCTTTTGCACTACGTGAAAGATTTTGTCCAGCACTTATGTGCCCGTGCGCGGAATGCTAGGCTAGCACATGGATTGGAGAGCGTGGTGGAGCTGCGCGGCAGGCCCCAGAGCGATTCGCCAGTAGGCTATTAGCGTACTATAATAAGGGGAGCAATAATATTAATCATAGTAGCAATAGTAAGAATACTAGCCCAACAATATCACCCCGGGAATCAAATGGAAAAGAAAGCGGAGATGACATGAAAGCTTGGTTTATGTCGTGGTGCAGCTGGTCCCAGCTTTAACACGACGCTCCATCATGAAATTGTGCATCATGAGTTCCCCTACAACCCTCTCGTCTACCCCCCCTAAGTTCCCCCTTAATGAGCCTACTAGTAAAGAGTCGAGGGGGGTAGTAAAGGGGAGCCCATGAACTTGCGCAGCTTGGCTGAGTGAAGGTTGGTTCCCTTATCAGCACTACCAGCGCGGCAGCGGCGAGCCCTTCGGCGAGTCGCGCAGCCTGAGGAACCCGAGCTACGAGAGTAGCAATGAACCAAAAAGCTCCATCAAGCAGCCACAGCAGTCTTGGGCGGTTTAGGGTGTAGTTGGATACAAGCTGTTGTGAGAGAGAACCTCTGCCCGAGGCCTCATGAATGCTTGTCTGTAAGCGGTGCACTTGCACGGACTGCCCATGAAATGGAGATGTCGCGCAGACTATGCCGTCTGCATGCTCCCTGCTGCAGGACGTAAACTGGAAGGCACTGCCCACCTTTGTTCCAGCGAGCGAAGACAAACGCTTGGAGAGCTTGGCGTCTTGCCTTGAGAGCTTTGGAAGGAGCCTGCTCAGGGGAACCTCAGGAACCTTGCGTGTCTACTGTAGGTGCTAGAAGCATGTGTCAAGTTTCCCCCAGAGTCTCCTCAAGTCCCTGCAGCAGATGGCAGCAACTTCATCACATGGGGAATCACGGACTAGCCTGGACGTGTCAGCATGATTCAGCATGTCTTCCGCAAACTGCAACAACATAAGACAGAACCCTGGCTCCCGTAAACAGGGGTAGGTAGGTTTGAAAATCCTGTTAATTTGGATCACCCTGACTCTCCCATAAGAATTGGAATTTTCGAGTGACCCCAAACCTACCCGAGTAAACTGTGGCCTCCCATGCTCAAGATGCGCGCAATGGTATGAAAACCAGAATAAGCAAGACGTTCAAGTTGGCTTCATAGAGTTCAGCACCCTAAGCCCTAAACTTTAAACCCTAGACCCTAGTGCTTTGAATGTGTTACGTGGGGAGCAGGTGCCTCGGCAGGCCTGGCAGGAAAACATATTCCACCGCATGAAGATGAGGGCCTAAGTTTAGGATTAATTCAGTGGTGGTTTGTAGGAAATAAGGGGATATAATATAATCCCTACAGTATATATTCTCGACTAATTACTAACCCTCAGAAAGCTGAGGGCTTAGGTTTCGGGGGCTGTGGTCTGCTCCTAAGCATGCCTAGAGTCTTTGAGCAAAGGCCCTACAAAATGGCTGCGACTACTTTTCCAGCACTTCATCCCTGACTGGTGGCCTGCTGGCATCTTTTGTGCAGACCCGAATCCGACTGAGAAGTAGATGGGTGTGTCCAAGAATGGGGTCCCCGCTAGGCAGTTTTCGATTTGTGGGCTTGATGCCCAGGGAAGAGTCACGAGTCTCATTGAACGACCGCGCAGTCTTGCGGACCCCTGTGAACCAGTAGAGCAATGTGAAATAAGGCGTATCTATATACATCTTGTAACCCACTACGGGACCTGATGCTCCTCAAAATGGAAGCTAACTTCACGGGTGGTGGGTAACACATGCGCAAGGTCTGCTGTCGCGCTGCTATTTCGCAATCTCACGGCACCGGGAGTTCGACCTCAGTGGCCTGAGCAAGGCTTACAAAGGGAGGCGGCGCTGCGACCTTTTTGTGAATGTAGGCGTATTGTATTGGGGTTTAGGGTTATAGGTACCCATTGGGGGGGTTATGGAAAAGAAGCTGGCAACTACTAGAAGATTCCCTTCAGGGATTGGGGTTATATGGGGATAATGGAAAAGAAAATGGAAACTACTATGAGATTGCTTTTAGGGATGTTTACAGCTTCGCTTGCAGGGGAAACAGCTTCAGCCCTAGCACAAGGTGGCCGGCGGCAACTAGGCTCGCGTTTGGATCTAGGCCTTGAGGAGTTGAAGCCCTAATTTTTCCAAGAGAAATTACTGGGCTATAGAAGGATTCATGTGGATGTTTTGGGTCTATGGGGCTTGGTTTTGGTCACTCCCCCTTACAATAACTGCCCTGAAAAGGGGTTTTAGTAAGTGCCCATTATAGCTCCTATTACCTGTTGCAATAACAGTTGCTGTAAGGGGGAAGGGCCTTCAGACCCTAAACCCTAAACTCCTAACCCCTAAACTCCAAAGCCTAAAAAACCTTAAATTCCTAACCCTTTAAACCCTAAACTCCTAACACCTAAACCCTATACCGTAGGTTTAGTTTTCATTCCCTGAATATGTGAAAGTCAAGAAGGGCAGGGCCACCTATAGGATTGAGGGTTTAGGGCTGAGGGAGTTGGGTTTAGTTTTTTTTTGGCGCGAGGATTTCCATATGCATGTAGATTCACAAGGACCCCCCCCCAAGAGTGCAGTTGATGGGCGTTTTTACACATAACTACCATATGATCCCGAATAGTGACCCTGGTAATCCACTTATACCACCTACATCCCACTAGGGTCAGGGTAGCCTGGGAAATCCCCCATGGCATGTGAGCTATAGTCTAAACTCCTTAAAGGGGTTCATATAGGGGATTATTTAGGGGACTATTTTAGGGGTTATTAAGGGGGATACTAGGAGTGTAGACAGTGGCTCATGTGGTCGCGAGAGCCCAGGCGTCGTACCTCCGCCGTGCCACTGGCTCCCTTTGGTCTCTCACTGCTGCCAAGGATGATCCTGAGGCCAGAGGTGTAAAGAATCAGGGAGTTTTTCTTTGTACCTTACGATTTGTACCTTTGGGTGTGGATCCCTGAGCCATGGAATTTCGACTGAAAGTGAGCACGTGGTTATTCGGGTTTCTCTTTTATACATGGGCCCCCCACATGAGCAATGGTCAAAACTTGCGTATTTGGTGCGAAGAGAAGGAAATTTCGTGAGACGAAAGAATCGCGCAAAGCCTTCCATCTAAGACGTAACCACGCCTGTGTTTGGGCTGAACCCCCCAAAAGCCATGCCCATCCTGAGGATAAAACTGTGATGATGGAATTGGGCAAGCAGCCTGGCAGCAGTACGGCTATGTCGCAGAGTAGCAGGTCGCCTGTACACCCCTGCCAGGAGAACCTTCTGGGAACCCCAGAACAGGCCACCTAGTTTTGGGGCATCAGGATGTGAGGCGATCATGTTTCCATGCTTTTATAGTCAGATCTCCAGCAAGCGCAAAGGTCCATGGAATACCAGCTCACGATGTCAAAGGATGACTTCAGCAAGCGGTTCCTCAACACAGGACAAGCTGATGAGCAGACGCCTGCTGCAAGCGACCAGAAGAAGGACGATCAGGCTTATAGCGGCTCAGCTGACTAGTACGCTGGATGGCAGCAATCGCAGCGCGACCGTTGCACAGCCTTTCGAGTGCACCCCTGCTGTGGCAAGATCAGGATTCTTGAAAATGGGGCGCTTCATGATGCGCTCGCAACTGGATGCCATTTATCAGGGGCAGGTATTCGCACCCTGGTGACAAGTTGAGAGGCTCTATGGATACAGACCACTTGAGTTCTGTTGTTAAAGAGAAGATCTTTCCACGCTTGCTGCAAACGGGGCAGGACAGTTCTGCCAAAGCACCATGCACCAGCATGCTGAGGATGTGAAGACTCGCGCAGTGTTTGACGTCAGGCATGATGCAAGGCGCCATGCCTAGTTTTGCTCAAGCTAAAGCCTGCATGGTCGGTGAGAGACGCGCTATGAAATTTCTGCAGCATCAGCAATGCCCTAGTTTTCCATGCGATGCACGCCACGACTTGAAACAGGCAGCATAGATTGGCATAAATGATAGGTTTGAATGTGGTGTTGGTAGCAGCGACGTTCTGTGACTCAGATGAGCATGGAAAGCCGACATGCTCAAAAGTCCTGGTAGGTGATAGCAGCAATGACCCAACGTCTTGGTGGGTTGGGTGATTAGGCTTGCTGCCGACGTTTGCTTCGTACTACTCGTGATTCCGTTTTTTCCTCACCATCTTCAGGAGATACGAAGTGAAGAGGAAATACCGCATTACGAAGATTTTCGGCGGCCGTCACAGCTACGAGCTGGAAATCTACGAAATGATGCGCATCTCAGTTCGCATTCAGCATTGTGCAGACTCTGTCATCGCAGGCTAGTAACTAGTAGCAACTCATCACGCTTGGCTCAGGAAATGCCTTCATGAAGTATGGCTTCCAAGCAAAGATTGGCCGTATGGATGGGGTCATTGTCGCCTATCACAACACGGCGGAAGTTTTCGGCTTTCAGTACCTCCCCCTGGCAGACATGGAGCGCTGCATCTACGGTCGGAGCCTTCCTTGCTGCAAATGATGCACATAGTTCTCTAAGTCCCACGAAGCAGACACTTGCTTTTCAGTTCGCTGTGTCCTCGCACATGATGATGCAGCACTGCGCCAAGGGGCCCAGAGTTTGGCCCTCAAAATGTTATAGCCCTCAACATCGGGACTTACAGAAAAGCACCCTAAACGCTTGGAAACCCTCGTGTCACGTGAGTAGTATTTTATTTGGAGATACTATGATACCCAGTAAAAAGTAAGATTATATCCTCCTTTTGGGGTATAGCATTTTATATGGGGCATATCGTCTTACTGGGTTTAACCACCAAAAAGAACGCTACTCACGTGCAAACCATCTGCAAGAGGTGGCCGTGAGGCCGCTAATGTGGCTTTCGACCTAAGCGCCGCTTGTTGGCAAAGACGGGTCTACAGTGGTATATGATAGTTTCCCAAAATAAGGGGACCCCAATATAGACCCCAATATTTTATAATCCTTATTATTGGGACCCTCAAAATGGTACCCCGAATTTTGGGAAACCCCCATATAGGGGATTGGAAAAGAGAATCAAAACTACTTTTCGGTATTGAGGGCTTTCTGCTCCTGAGCACTGATACCGCCAATACAGTACCATCACAAATATATTGGGGGGTGAGATTCTAGTTGCACCTGGATTCCAACGTTCTCTGGAGAGGACCCTTGCTAGTATGGACGCGAATGAGGGGGTTCATCGCAACGGCCTCAACCCTCAACCCTAAACCAACCGCGTGTTGGCAGTCAGATGGCAAGGATCAATGGAGCACTTGAACGAGTGGAGGGCTGAAGCACGGTCAGAGAACACTCCCCTAGCCCTAGCCAGTGGTTTGCACAGAAAGGTCTAGGGTCTAGGGTGTTTAGCAAAAAAAAGAGGCTAAACTTTGAACCATGGGAAGGTCAAAGTCCTGCAGACCTTGCTCGACTTCCTTACCCAGGAGCGGAATCAAAGGGTATTTCAGCAGGTCAGGGGGAAACCCTAAACCCTATACCCTTAAGTTGTTCATACCCCACCCGCCATCTTGCAGACTTTTATCTTTGTCACGCCGACCTTGTGGGAGCAGCTTTGCTACTTGGAACTTCATGGTATTGAGAGAACCGTATTACTTGAGTACAAGGAACCTCCAAGTAGGGTCCTTGCCCTGCTGAAGGAGGAAGAGCTCTCGAAGAACAGCACCATCAAGATGACGGCGCCTTGCTCACTGAATTATTTGCCTTCACCGAAAAAAAGTTGAAGAAAAACATCAGCCGAGGTTTGGGGTTTGAGTGTTCACCTCGGGCTGTAGGGCGTTGAGGGCAAATCTTCAGGGAACTTTGCACTCTAGGTAGCTGCCTGTGCTGTCAGTTGGCTGTACCGTGCGACATGCACCTGATGGGAGCCTAGCTTTCAGCAATCGTAGCTGTGGCTCGAAGACGTAGAACCCTAGGAAACTATGAGAACATCATCATGTAGAAATATGTTGATTGTCTTCTGAGGCAGCGTAGGGGCCCACCAGGAGGATGCAGCGGCCAGCATGGCCCCAACAACAACTGAGGGGGGCCCAGCAAGGATGGTTCCATCAGCAGCGATGGGCTGCCCAGCAGCAAGGGTGTTCTACCCAGCAGTGGGTCGGAACGCCCCAGTGGGGTGGAATGCAACAGTGGCAGCCAGGAAACGGAGGTCAGGAGCAAGGAGGAGACGGTTGTGTTGCGTGCTAAGTTCACGTAAGCGGAGGTCGTCAAATGGCGCAGATGAAACATTCGGTCAGACGGGCATGGAGAGCATGCAAATGCCCATGCCCTAAATGATGATGACGCTGTACAACAGTGGATAGCAGATGATGCCCGTGCAAATGGAGGGCATGTGTGGGCAGCAGCCCAACTCGGGGCCGTATTTCCACAACAGCAGTGGCCATGTTCAAGCTCATTTCGGCAAGGGCCACAGGGAGCATGGTCGCGCGGACAACGATGCCAATTGGCGTCCGAAGCCAATGAACATGTGCATGATGCGCCTACGTATGTGTCGCGATCAATGGCTTTCCAGGGCTGGTGGTGTCACCCCTAAAAAAGAACATAGCTTTAGCTATAGGCGTGCATCCGGACTGGACCACGACGGCCAGGCCAGAGTTTGGGCCCAGAGGCAGGGACAGCAATGGTAGGAGCAAAAAACTAACAAGAGCAGCAGGCACAGTAACTAACAGGACATTACTGAACAAGAAGTACGTCATAGTTCGAGTACATCATAGTGCACTAGGAATGGTCTGAATAGTAGTGATGAACTATAGTGGGAGTTGGAATGGCGAAACGGACTCCTGGCAATGTTGATGGTGCTGCAGCATCATCAGCATTATTGGAGGGCTGTATCTCCATTTGTTAGCCCTCCTGTGCCCCTTGGCCTGTCCTTCAATCGAAGCTTTTCTTTGCGCAGGTGCTTTGGGCGGGCTTTGGGGCTAGAATCCGTATTCATGATGTGTTTTTTCTGGACGACCCCAAAGGCCCTTCAGAAATCCCTCCGTGTGCTGACTCAAGCTTAAAGAGCACGTGTGTTCTTGGAACTGCCTTTAGGGTGCAAAACGGACCCATATTTGTCATGATGATGCTCACGTACGGGGCACGCGTGCTCGCCTCCTGCGCGAGCATCATCAGCACAATCCGTGTCCTTTTCGCTTCTCAAATGATCTTTTCGTCGCTCGCACATGTCGTTAAACTGTTCCAGCCACTTAAGACTTAAGATGCCTTTAGCCCCGCTTGCGAACAGTTCTTCCGCGGAGAAACTTTGTAAACCCATCATAGAGCCCGCAAAGACGCATGATAGCCTCCATGGTTCCAGCATCCATGGCCCAACGGGCATGGGCAGCCTAGAAGCCTGGAAATAGAGAACGGGACCTCAATGATACTGATGATCTTGGCCGAACCTCATCATCATCAGCGTCACTGCGGGTCCGTTTCTGGCCTCCTCTGTACCCAGTGACCCTGTATGGCAAAGCGGGAAGGAAAAATAACCCCTCATAAGTCTACACTTTACTTGGCCCCACCCCAAGACGGGCCTTGGGCTAGTTTTCAAAACGGTCTGTGCTCATATCGTCGGGCAATGCCTGTGGGAAAAATCCGCAGGCTAAGTCGCCAAGCCCCTTCAAGGCCACTAATTTCCAACTTGTTTGTTATGCTGCGCGGCCCCTCTCTGATCAGAGAGCAGCACATCCCTAAGCCTTCGCCCCAATGGCCCAGGCCCAAGTGCCCCAATCAAAACGTATAGCCTGAGCCCTATCGAGCCCGAGAATCTCCTGGATTTCTTGAAAAAAGCTCTTGGGGTTTAGGTTGGGTGCTGGGCCGCGTGCTAAGCTGCCAAGACTCGATTCATGCCCAACCTTGCGCGACACTGCCAGAAAGTCCGGAACAGAAGTTTTTCCAAGTGCTGAGATGTGATGGTTAAAGGTACCTAACACCATCTAACGGCGTTGAGATAAGACTAACTAGTCGGTACATGAAGCCATAAGATCTGGGTCCTTGAACGCTGACTGCGTAGCTGCATGCAGTACTCACGTCCCCAAGTCGTAATTGTTTGAATCAATTTCCTTGTTAATGTCTAGCCTGTTGCAAAGCGCTTTTTCATCCATGTTAGTTTGCGGGAGGATTCCTTATTGGAGAGAGGCGCCCTAGGAATTGCAGTGGTTTTACAACAAGCTTCGTAGGTAAGTAGCCACAGATATTTTTGTTGAAGCTGAGCTTTGCAGTTGCTCTCGGAGGTTTCCACGCATGGCCATCCATAGTACCCAAAGGACCGTAAACACAGCGATGCCCCAAATCCCAATTGCACGTAACAGGTTTCATGTGAGGAGGATGCGAACGACGAGTTGGGGAATACGTGGCTTGCCTTACAACTTTTGCGGAATTGGTTGAACTTGCATACTGGTTTCATTAAGCTTCCAACAATCTGCAAGCTCATCAGCCCTTTCTGTCAGATTATGCGTTTAAGCCATGCCAGACTATATCCGGGGTTGGCAGAGAAAGGGGCCCCTTTTCTTCAGACTTTCGGAGTCCTGTTTCTAAGATGACCCGCACATTAATTCTTAAACAACATCCAACAACAAAGCATTCTCCAATGTGTTTTGCATTCCCTAAACTCTTTCCATTACTTTCTGTTTCCTTCACTACTTGCCAAACACCAGTAAGCCCTTACACAACCTGACAAGAGACCAGATGCCACGTCGTGTTCCATTTGTTTTTCTATTTGGTGCTCCATGACCTACGAACCAACAGTAGCACAAGCCCCAAACAAGATCCCCATGTTTGCCCAAATATTGCCTAAACCTTACCCACTAACCGTCACTAACCATAAGCAGAAGGACGCTAAACCCTGGATATCCCTATGTACCTCTAGTTTCCATGTCTTTTCCATTTGGTTTTGCGTTACCCGGGTGATACAAGGGTAATATCTTACATTTTACCAGTAGCCCCTACCTGATCCCCAGTAAAAAGGTCATTTCAATTTTTCCACTCCCAAACCCCTAATAGTAGTTTCCATTTCTTTCCATTCCCTATACCCTAAAGCCTGTATAGTAGTTTTTCTTTTGGTTTCCATTCCGTAGACCTCAAAACCTATGTTATGGGAGTTTTCACGTTCTTGTCTAAACTCTCTAAAAGGTAATCCTTGAACTCCGGATGAAAGGTCGAAAAAAGGAACGCTGCAGCAAAGCAAACTAAACTCCCTAAACCCCACACCCTAAACTCCCTACAGTAGTTTCCTAAATCCCCCTGAGCACTAAGCCCTTAACCGCTTTCAATTGTCCTTTCCATTCCTTCATTACATAACCAAATATATAACCCCAATATAACCCCTAAATACTATAGTAGTTTCCATTTTCTTTTCCATTATTCCCATATAACCCGAAGATTGGATTTCCACCTAAGGCCCTTCCGAACACCCGCGGCTTCTGCATGTGCCAACG